ACTCAAATGATTTGTCAAATGATAGTCACTGTTCTTGCAGGGGTATTAGGTGGGCGAAAGTTGGACGTCGGCATCGCTTTGCAGGGCGAAAATCGCCATTCGCAGGCATTGTGTTTCAGCGGTTATTAGAGCTCTTGATGTTCGATTAATCGAATATTCGAATTATTCGAATATGATGCTATTCGAATAGTAAAATTCGACTAGCTGTATTCGAATAATCGCACACCAACGATTATTCGAATAATTGATCGTTTTCAATTATTCGAATAATAACTGGTGCGCGATTATTCGAATGTTGAAATATATGTAGCTATGTATACATATGTATGTATGTACACATTTAAATAAATTGAAATGTATGAATAAGGGCCATTCCAGTGAAGACGATACAAAAGAAAAACACATAGATTGTGTTTAAACTTGTGAAAAAGCAGAGAGAATAATTCGTTAAGAATAGATTTCTGTATTGTCAAGTCATTCCTGGTGTATCAAAATGACAATTCAAAAAATAATTATCAAAAAAAACAGAGAGAAAGTACAATTAATGGACTTTAAAACGGTTATTACAAAAATTTATGTATGCTGAGGAGTCACAGCAAAATATGTATTTTTTAACGTATAGATCAAACCAGATCCCCTTATAAAAAATTATTTAATATTCACATCAAACCATTAGCGGTCGTTTTATTCACGAACTGTGTCCTCAATAGCGACTCGTCCCACCCGTCACAATCTAAAATGTGTGGCAAAGATGAGATTTGGTAACACCGAACTCCAGGCATCGAGATTTATGCATACAAATCATAAAATCGTTATTAAAACCACAGATTTGTAAAATAATAGCTAGAGAAAATAGCGCCTATCAAGGCAATGTCTTCAAATAAACCACGTTTTTTTCGCTCTCCTGTAAAATTTAAGTGCCGTAAGATAGACGGTCTTGCAATTAGTCGATGGGCGGTTTTGCAAAAACATCGACGTTATAGTTTGTCTGAAATTGGTAAACAATCCAATAACTCAGTGAAGTGGGTGTCAACGTTGTCCTACCCGTCCTTCTTGGAAAAATTTTCTATGTAAATTATATGATTAAGTTTTATACTTTAACTATTTGAAACTCGCTAATTTAATGGTTAAAGAGAACTTACTAAAAGTTTGAGCAAAAACGAGTTCAAATGTCCCACCCGCAACTCTGGACCGCCCCACATAAGTTTGTTTTGAGAAAATATTGTAGTTACTAAGCAACAACATAAATGAGCAGGTTATAAATTCACATTTTTTTGTTTGACAAATAACGCTTATTACAACCATCGAATATTCGATTTTAATGAGGTATTCGAATAGTCGTAGCTATGCGACTATTCGAATAATCGAAAAAATCAACTATTCGAATAGTAAAATTCGATTAGCAATCGTACAAGTAATTGCCAATGGAACGTTCGAATATTCGAATAATCGAATTATTCGAATAATTTAAAAAGCCCTAGCGGTTATGTGTGTACGTAAGTGGTACAGCGCAGTCACTTCACTCACACACATTTCGTTCGCGTTTGTGAGCTCGTGTTTGATAGGCACTGATGGAGATCCTGTAGTAAAACCTAGAGACAGTCTGTTAAAGCGCTAGTTCCGCCCTATACATTTCAGAACTATCTCTGAACTAGTGCAAAACGGCTACAGAGGAGGGACAGTTGAAACTTTTGGTGTGCTAGTTGCGCTCTGTTGAGAAGTAAATGCACACATTCTCACTTCTCGTACAATACTAAAATAGCTCAGCGGGAAGACCTCCGACTCTAACCTCGTTGGTCGCGAGTTCAAATCGCGATGGAGGCAGTTGTGATTTTCAGATTTAAATAAATTAATAAAATAAATTTAAATTGTTGAGTTCCGCTTAAAAATTGAAGAGAAAATTACCAATTTTAATATAAATAAGATAAAAGAATAAAAAATAAATTAAGTGCAATCTGTAAAAGAACAGAAAAAATTATAAAAACATCAAAAAATCGAATAATCAGAATTTTTTTCATAAAAAAATTATTGTCGCAGAGCTGTCCGAAATGGAAATAGTTCAGAAAAGTAAAAATATCCAATAATCTAGTTTCAACATTTTTTCTCATAACAACCTTATTGTCCCAGAACTGTCGAAAATGGAATCAGTTCAGAACTAGTTCGAAAGTTCGGCAGAGATGGCAAAAAGAGACAGTTGAAAGCGTTGCGTTGGGATAGATCGAGAACCAGTACCGCCTCTTAAAGAGCTAGTTCTGCGCTAGTTTTGAACCAGCGCGATTTACTGCAGGAGACCAAATAGTCTAATGCTTGCACGGCTTTGTATTTGTTTGTAACTCTACCCCAGTGTTGCCAGGTTGACGATTTGGTCGTAATTTTTAAGATTTTCTACGGCCATGACGATTTGAGCATTTTTTTGCCCCAATGACGATTTTTCTTTATGTGCAAATTTGGTTGATTCTTGACTTTGAAGACAGTAACACAGACAACTAAAAATTGCAGTGTAGACACTTGTTTACCATTTTTGCTAATAAATTATTGTCGTATCCAAATTATATCATGTAACAGAACTGACAGTAGTTGTCGATAAATAGTTTTCTTCTTTGTTTCATCACTATTGTTTAGTTTTTGTTGTCAAATTCGTAGTTTTTGCGTTGTGTACTGATACATATTTTATTGAGCGAAGGAAATTATGAATAAATTATTACGGAAAATAGAGAAAAACTTTGTGACAAAAACAAATACTGTGTCGCTTATCCAAAGTTTCACTAATCAGTATAAAATTTTTCAGACTGTTGAAATTCAAAATGTTTAATTTTCCGAACAAAATTGTGTATTTTTAAATTTTAACAGGCTGATAAATTTAAAATTGGTTAGACCTTTTCCAAGAGTACTTCAGAAAGCGTAAAACGTACTTCAGAAAACGTAAAATGTACTTCAGAAACCGTCAAATGTGCTTCAGAAAACGTAAAATGTACTTCAGAATAGTCAGTTCATTTTACAACTGACTATTCTGAAGTACATTTGATGCTTTCTGAAGAACATTTTACAGTTTCTGAAGTACATTTGACGCTTTCTGAAGTACTCTTGGAAATGGTGCAGTTCAACGGGCATTAATGATCTAAAAATGAAGATCAAAATGCGATTTTATTGCAATTAAAAATATTTTTGTAAATTTAAAAATTCCTAAGAAAGTTAAATGTTTTATTTTTTACGTACGTATATGAATAAGAAAAAAACTAAAAGTGCTGCCGGGTTCTGTTTATTTTAATTTTTTATATGTTGATGATTTTTACATGCAAATGACGATTTTTGAGAACCAAACTGGCGATTTCTCACTGCAGTGACTTGTCAAAACTGCGTTACCCCCTAAAAAGGATGCTTATCTTCCAAGAATAAAAAACTGGCACTTGCTTGTGTTACACAAATGCTTTATTAAAAAAAAAAAGAATTATTAAAATCGGTTTAGTACTTTGAGAGCCAACCCTGGACAAACATTTTCCATATAATCAATTTTATTTAATAGTATAGAATTATCTATTATGCTTTTTAAGGTTAGGTTTTGTTTCAAAGCTATAATTAAAGTTAGAAAATAAAATGATGCAACATAAAGCAAATATGATAAAAATGACATAGGCAAAATGAAAACTCATAAGAAAAATTCTACTTCAATGCAAATTTTGGCAAACATTTCATTTCAAAAATGCTCTTAGTAAATATTTGGATTGTTTTTTAGTAATCAGATATGTAAGTACGTACTAAGCATAGAAATGTTTGACATTCGCATTTTTGAGTGTTAGTAAACTAATTCCACTGTGAATGTATTCGCCAAGGAGATTATCGTAACTGTTGTAAGTGAATTGAAAATGAAATTCGCTTGCGAATATGAAAACGAAAGGCAGGCGGACACACAAACGACCGAAGAATATGGAGAGGACTACGCAATGAGAGATTAAATATTTTTAATTAGGCAGCGAAGGAGTAAATGAAATGAAGTGTAATGCTTTTAATGTTTAATGTTAATTAAAATTGGGGCTTAAATGTGCGAATGAAGCGCTCTTTGTGGGAGGAGTAGGTATAAAAAACAAAAAATGAACTAAGATACATATTTATGTAAGTATGAGGCGTTGTCTATTATACGATGTAATGTAAAATAGAAGTATGAAATAGTTATTCACTGTTTTTTTTTTGCGCATGAAGGTGCGGTGACTGATAAAGCTTAAAATTCGATGAGCAAATTTTTTAATTTAAATTAAATATTTTAGTCTTACGGGAAGAACTAAGTTGATAGAAGAAATTAAGAGGTAGTAACATAAATAGTGGTAACAAACTACAGCTACATTAGTCTATAAAATGACAACTAAACTTTGATAAATCATAATTGGGAAGTTCTCTTAAACTGAAAGTCCATAGGATTTTGAAATTTTTCCAGCAGTTCGAGGCTTCTTCCAGTCCAAGGGAATACTCCTAATAGTATTTGCGTATTATGAAAAACGTAGCAAAAATAATAAATAATGTTTCAAAACAATGAAAAACATAACATTTTTATACTACATATTCTAATTTCAAAATTTCAAAGAACGTAACGTGCGAAGCTAACAATGCAATAATTTATGTTTAAAAAATGCAAAACTGCTGCGCTTATACATAAATGCTATTTCATAATATTCTCTGTTAAAGGATTAAACTACGAATGAAAGTACCAACAAAAAATGTTTGGTTTCTTCAAAACCAGTAAAAATTACTGCAAATGCATTGAATTAATGAAAATTAGGCAATTGGCTACAGCAACTTGGCAACATTGCATGTTAATGGCTGACAAGGCAACACAGTTGCATTAGTGGTTTGTGTGCGCGCTAAATTGTTGTTGAGTTGGTATTACGTACATATGCATTAGGGGCATGCCTCAGGTGCCGGGTGCGGCTAAATTTATTCTAAAAATCGTTTAGTTTTTTTTCGCAAAAAAGTTTACTTGATATGAATGCTAAATATTTGCACTAAAATGCTTCGGTGTTTATTAAAAAAAACGCATTAACTAATGATGACTCATTCAGTTTAGGCACACAAACATTAGCGTTGAGCGAAAGATAGTGAGTGTTTTTTACACTTACACAGCGGGTAATCTACGTCCTTTGGAATCATACAGTGGATAATAGTATTTGTTCCTAAATTTTTATAAAAAAGATTGTAATAAGAGAATAAAAAATAAATTAATAGCGCAAATTAAATATACAGAAGTGATATAAATAATTTAGATTTAAAATGTGTAGCTATATTGTATAGAGTAGAGAAATACTGTGTTATAAATTTAGGTTAAATAAATTTTTTATAAAAAAGCGTCAATACAGTAACTTAAAATATTTTAGAACTTTATGGTTCAAACCGATCAATGGTTAGAACTGACCTTTCTTGATTTGGATGAGTTTTGGTCAGAACTTTTCTTTTGTAACATAACGAAGTTTTGCCAGAGCAAAAATATACTTAGGTATAAAATATTTTTCGAAAGTTCAAAATTTTACGGATTTAGCAAGTTCAAGTTTTGAGAAGGTCTAAAGCTAATAAAAGGTGTTTTTTTTTGCATATTCATAAGTACAATAAATAAATTTACTAAAAAAGTCGAAAAGTAAAAAATTTCAGAATTTTCAAAGTAAAAAACCGTAAAAGCAAAATCTTACTTGTATTAAATTCATGGATATTTTTTATATATAAAAATACCTCTAGTTTATCTTAAAAGATCCGATAAATTTCAAGTAGGTGCTTTTAAAGTTATATTTCTTGAATAAAAAAAATTGCGTATCTACTCTAAATTAAAACTAAATTTAAGTGAAATAAAAATGTTTTCACATATGTAACTTCACATAGAATTTGCGAACGAAATATTTTTTCGAAGTTCAAAAATTGATATCCTTAAAAAACTTCTTCGTGTAAACTTCTTGGTATTAAAAAGATTTAGTCTAAAGTTTATAAAAGTTTCTACTTGCCTTATGCTCGGTTCCACCAATCACTTTTAAAATTCATTAGACTGTTAAAATTTGAAATAGTAAAATTTCGAATAAAATCTTGTGATTTTAATATTTAACATCCTGATAAATTTAGAATTGACTGGTGAAATTGGGTATGTATGTTTATAACTTTTGGAATTTTTTATATACACTAGTATGCATTTTTTCTTTATGTCCCTAAATATCGCTTTTAGAACTAGACCAGATTTTGTAACTGTAATATAAAAATTGTCAAATTAAGAATTTTGCATAACTTCAGAATTTTATTTTTATTTTTTTCTTTGGCAGAACTCCGTTATACGATATACGATAAAAGAAAAGTTCTGATCAAAATTCACAAAAATCAAAAATGGTCGATTGACCCATAAGGAAATTATTAAAAAGCTCTAAATTATCAAAAAACCGGTATATTTAAGTGTTTTGAAAAAAAGCTTATAGGAACTTAATCTCAGAAAAAAAATTATTTAGTACAAAAAATATTTAGAAAGTTGTTTTTAAGATAATTTACTTCGCTCATTTAGGCCACAAAATATTATATAGTTTTTCTTTTGTCTAACTTCAATAAATTTTTAATATTGCGAGTTCTGCAGATAATTACCAAAAAGTTAATAGGCGTTGGGATATGTTTTTATATATCTATACAATTTAAAATATTTACAGGTAAGTTACTTTCAAGTTATTTACTATAGATTTTAGAGATAGCAGAATCATTTCAGATATACTATATTTTTAAGGCTTGGGAGTCCTACACTATAGTTATTATATATACAAGTGTTTATATTTTTGTTTTAGAGCATAGGAAATAATTCTCTGGATTAATTCTTTAAAGTTTTAATATTTAATTCGTACAACTTTTTGCTTCTCAACTTACGGTTTGGGCAATATTGTATTATTCATATTATCCTTCCATTGCAAATCCGATACCAAATTCGGATCAGCCACAATCGGTTTACAGGTTAGAATCAATGATTTGCCAACTGGTTTCCTTTGTACTTCTTGCATGGGAAAAATTTCCAATTTTGGTTTGACTTCAGCATGTGTGAGATCTGGAATGAAAAAGGAAGTAAATAGAAGGTTAGACAATTTTGATTAAAATTCTACGTTTCAGATAAGGTATTTTTTTAATAACGGTAATGGTAAGTAAACTCTATGCAAAGTGGTTCGGCTTTCGGTTCGGATCAAACATTTGTGGAAAATTTCGGTTCGGTTAATGGTTCAGTTAATTAATAGAAAAAGCGGTTTTCCGGTTCAAAACCCATTCACATCCCTGGATCGGATTGAACTTCATACTCTGAGACTAGCCTACTGAGTCCACAGTGAACTCTTTGAGATACGGAAATGTGCGTGGGTCACTGAGAGTTCGATTGAGCATTGTTTTAAGCACTTATGACTAGTACAAGCTTAGCTCAAGAGGCCTGGCTATCTTTGGAAAAATTGTACTCCAGTGAAACCCCGATTTATAGAGCGTTTCCAATCTCATTTACTTGCCAGTGATCACACATTTTTAATAAAATGTTTATTGTATACTCGTAAAATGATTTAAACTCTTCAAGTCTAGTAAAAGTCCTAAACACATTTGTTTAATATTTACTGACGCCAATGCCAGCTGTCATGTACATACATACATGATCAGGCAAGCGAGTACTCGTACATGTGAAAACACTTATTGACCCGTCAATTCACACATTTGTATCTTACTTTTTATTTGTTAAATACTTTTTTTAGCTTTTTTATGCTTTTACCCCTTCAACTGCACCGCCATCCATCATCTGTTGGTGTCATAAGCAAAAAAAAGGCGACCCCCCGTTGCTGGCGGTGAGCACATGTTGCCTCAAAATAAAAATAAAAATATATACATACATTTATGTATCTATTTGTCATGTTATTGTTTTTGAATTCCCTACAGCAAACAGTCCACACAAATCAATTGTTCCACAATGCTTAATCATAATTGAAATAAGCGACAGCACCGTAACGAAACCAGCCCGAATTTGGTTGTTAGTTGAAGCTGTTCAAATGTTGCTAACATTGCAGGCTGCCATATCAATTATGCAACAATCTCTGTGGTCATGGGTGCATGCAACATAAAAATTAAATATGCATATGAAAAAAATGCATCCTGAGTGCTAAAGATGTGAGTTTGAACAAGTGTTTGATACCGACTCCGTCTTTTATTTCACTTTTTAAGGTGATGGAGAAGAGTGTTATGTTGCTAAATAGTTGTTGTTGTAACATAATTAAACTTTCTCCTTTTGCGACACCGTCTGTCCATTCGGACTTCCTTGAAATTTTATACAGTCGCCATATTTTTCACATCCTCCAGAACTGTTCAGAAATCATACGAACTGGTTAACCCAAATCCGGGAAAAAGGTACCGCCTTTGACACATTGTGATACGGTAATAGAAGCACTTTACTTTATGAAGACCATAAAATCGTAGAAAATAGTGAAAAGAAAGTCGGCAGATTCTCGGTTTTGAATTTATATGGTACTTAACTCAATCTATAACTGACTGATAGCACAGAACACTACGTATAGCGACTGGACTCAACATTCCTTCTGATAGCCGAGGGGCAAACAGCTAACCTGCCGTTTTTGGTCTCGTGCGAATATTTTCTAAGTAGACCTGGGTACCAGGTCAAAGTGATATTGTGGGAGACGGCCTGACGCTTGGGTTGGGATGACGAGGAAGGAAGCCATAGAGGTGGTCACACGGTGGAAGATAAGTATGGCAGTACTCCTGAACAGAAAAGCTTCATGTCAGCAAAAATCAGGATGTGTCAAACAGGAAGATATTTATGTCCCGGTGTTGACCAAAGCTGGGCAAATGACCACACCGACAAATCTAAAGTGTGTGAAGAAAGTAGCCCAAGTTGTATGCCCCAAACCAAAATTGCATAGTCGGCAGCTGCGGCTTCAACTTCTCAAAATTCACGAGTAAATTTTTTCACCGACAGCCGCGAAGCCATTAAAGCTGTAATGGCTATTATGACACACTCGCTTGGTATTAGCCGGGTCGCTACTTACTGGGTGCCTGGAGGCAAACAAAATTTAAGGGAATGAGCGCACTGATTTGGTGGTAAAAAATGGAGGAAACTTCTAACTGGGTAGATGGCTATCCTTCAATTATTTAAGGAGAGAATTAGACATGTAACTGATACATAGAATATTCTAACACTTTCAACGCTGGATTGCCGGGTACTCGTCGCCTCCGGAATATAGGCGACTCAGCTACATTTGTTCTACTTTATTCTCTTCAACGAAGGAAATTGCAGTCCTAAGGACTGGCTACACGCTAAAAACGCATTACGACTAAGTTATTTGTAAGTCAAAGCTTCTGTTATAGGTTTTATCGAACATATTGTATGAAAGACTGAAGCCCACCGTCAATGAGTGTGGCTTTAGACATAGCAAATTCACCCTTGATCATGTATTCAGAGTACGTCAAATATTGGAAAAGACCCGTGAGAAAAGGATCTACACCTATTGTCGACGTTAAACTGCTTTCGACAGCACTAAAAGGAGTCACCTATATGCCGCGATGTCTGAACTTGTTATCCCCACGAAACTAAAACGGCTGTGTAAAATGACGTTGAGCAAAATCACCAGCTCCGTTAGAATTGGGAAGAACCTCTCCGAGCTGTTTAATGTCAAACGACGTTTCAGAAAAGGTGACTTCATTTCGTATGATTTCTTTAATCTGATGACGAAAAAGATAATGAGGGCCGTAGAACTGAACCGCTCAGGAACAATTTACTACAAAAGCGTGCAATAGCTGGCGTATGCCGATGACATCGACTTCATCGGCAACAAAAATCGCGAAGTCTGTTCTGCCTTTTCCAAGTTGGATAAGGAAGCAAAGCAAATGGATCAGAAAAATTTGCGCTCAACTTTCGGCAGGCGGTTATAATGCCGAATATATGTACTGCTTTCGGCCGTTTCCACAATTGTGTTCTACGCCCTTTCAAATCCCGAATGGTTGCTAGACATGGACGTAAACCGGATGAAAAATTTGGTCGATTCGGCTCAGCGGTTCGAACCGTTTTTGCTTTTTGATTGGTTTACCAAAGCGGAATTTAGGTCTTTGAAGCTGGTTCGGAAATAAAAAAAAAGTAACGTGCAAGCATAAGTGTCACGTGTCTGTCAAATGAGATAGGTTGCCATTACATTTGATATTGCCACATGCTAAACAAACATGGTATGTATTACCATACTTAATAAAAAGAAAAAAGGGAGTAGATTTATCTATTGAAAATTGGGTGAAACGAACCTTTAAACCTTTATGAAAAATGGTTCGGCTTCCGGTTCGGATCAGACATTTGTGGAAAATATTGGTTCGGTTAATGGTTAAGCTAGGTAACAGAAAGTAGCTGTTTTTACAGTTCAAAACCGGTTCACGTCCCTGCTAGCAACCACCTCTAGCGAGTGTGTGTGTGGATGCTTTTGTGTGTGTGCCTTCGATCGAAGCACTATTAAATGCATGTTTTGAACACATTTTCCAATTTTTTTGACGTACTTGCACATAAAATTGCTTGGTATAAATTTTATATGCATGAAAAATTGTGCACATGTGGCTTGAATAGGTCTGCTTGTCTTTTTACATGTCTTAAAATTTTTACAGCCGCTGGAATGTTTGTTGGAATGCTGCTGTGGACATTTCTGGCAACACCCTCCTGGCCAAATACGGCGAGTGCGATGGGAAAGCCATTTAACAGTTATGGGCAAAAAAAAAAAGTTTTGTAGCAATGCTATCGAATTTTTTCATACAGATATAACAATGCATGTATGTATGCAGTTATTTCAAGCCTAACATATGAAAATAAGCGAAATATAAAACTTGCGCAATGTCTTTAACATGTGTCCATTGCGGCAATGCCGAAGCGTAAATGACATTTTTGACAGCTGCCGGCGGTCGGCCTGCCTGCCTGCCTTCCAAGCTGCCACGCTGCCACTCAGCCATGCTGCATATCCTTAACGCCCCACATTCACACGCTGCTAGAGATGCACATGAACATCTGCATAACTATTTTTTACTTTTATTTGTTTCAGCGCGCTTTCAACTGCTTGGCACTTCATTCATTCATTTGCTCTGCGCTGAATATATGTACATACGTACATACATATGTAAGTTTTTTCCATTTATAGTTCTTCGCTTCATATTTGTTTTGATTAATTTTCAACGCCTTTAATGTTTTGTTTACATTTCCCACACGCTTATTTTGCTGCTTGATTATAATCACTATACTGTCTGTCCCACCCAATACTCCTCTTCCAGCCCACACTCCCACAAACGCACTCGTATTGCATTCATGATTATGCAGTTTGACGTCTGCTGACATTTGTTTGGAAACCGGCAAACGAGCTTTGCCTCAATGAAGCTGTCAGTAGCGGCTGTCAAAATGGAAAACAATATGCCAGTGCGCTTTCGCTGACCCACTGCTAGGCATACATATCAGATATAAGAAGTACACATACATATGTACATATATGTAATATCAGAATTGTATAAAACTGCAATACAAATACTTTATTCGGGATGAGCTCCCAAATGAATGGCTAGGTTAATGATTTACATATCAACGTGTTATAATTGAGCTACATTAGGACATACGGCCACTTATTGGAAAATCCTTCACAATTTTTAAATTTAATATGTGGCCACGCAAATCTTACCACCACTAAAAAAAGTGAAGTAGAATTTTTTTAAGTTAATAAAAAAAATTTATTGGTGAATATAGTTCACACTACATATAACAAAAACTATATAAATAAAAGTTTAAAACTTTTTACAAAAATTAGAAAACTTTATCAAAATTTCCAACTTTTTAACCAAAATTTTGAGGAAAATTTCGAGTATGCAGTTGAATAGCGCATTCACTTTTAGTATAATAAAATGCAACTTGAAGTAGCATTTAACTTATTATTTAAATTGATTTAAACTTCGCAGCAGATGGCAACCTTGCCAAAAATATTTTACAAATAAGGCTTAGTATAATTTCTTCTGTCAAACCCATATCAAAATATTTCAATTTATTTTAGTTTCCAA